GAATCTACTCCAGCTTTCTGTATATGTTTGGCATACAGATTGAACAGATAGGGGGATAAAATAACATCCTTGTCTGCCACCTTTGCCTACAGAAAAGTATTCTGTTTCTCTTTATTCCGTTCTAACAGTAATTTTTCTTCTTCTCCAGAGTATTGGTTATGCTTCAGAAGCATCAGGTGTTGAAGCATTTCCATTTCTTTTATCTTTACATGATCGACATAGCCAAAGGCATAGTCTGTTCTTCTTCTTCTAAAATTCATTGGTAAGCTCCAGTATATAGTGCACATTTACAGTATGATCTCTAGTGCCTCTTCCTTTTTGGAATTCAGCTTGGGCATCTCTAGTGCCTCTTCCTTTTTGGAATTCAGCTTGAACACTGGGCACTTCTCTGTCTGAACAGGGTAAAACTTTTCTTGCAACACATTCAGCATCACTTTGAGAGCATAGGAAATTAATGCAACGGTCCTTTATTTTCTGCACTCTTTGGCATCTCCTTTCTCATGCACTGGGATGTATATTGAATGCTTCCAACCTGCAGGCTATTGGTTTCTTCCTTTTTGGAATTCAGCTTGAACACTGGGCACTTCTCTGTCTGAACAGGGTAAAACTTTTCTTGCAACACATTCAGCATCACTTTGAGAGCATAGGAAATTAATGCAACGGTCCTTTATTTTCTGCACTCTTTGGCATCTCCTTTCTCATGCACTGGGATGTATATTGAATGCTTCCAACCTGCAGGCTATTGGTTTGTTTCAATGCTTTCTGACATATTCTTGTAACGAGTCTGGCAGATCCAATCTCTAGAGCTTAAATAGTTCTGTGGTTATTCCGTCTACATATGGTGATTAATTTTTCTAAGTGCTTTCAGAATTGCTGCTTGTGGCACAGAAGTTAGGACGAAAATTTTGACAGCCTTGTTGTTGTTGTTTAGTTGTTAAGTCGTGTCCGACTCTTCATGACCCTATGGACCAGAGCACGCCAGGCCCTCCTCTCTTCCACTGCCGACCGGAGTTTGGTCAAATTCATATTGGTAGCTTCGATGACACTGTCCAGCCATCTCGTCCTCTGTCATCCCCTTCTCCTCTTGCCCTCACACTTTCCCAACATCAGCGACTTTTCCAAGGAGTCTTCTCTTCTCATGAGATGGCCAAAGTACTGGAGCCTCAGCTTCAGGATCTGTCCTTCCAGTGAGCACTCAGGGTTGATTTCCTTCAAAATGGATAGGTTTGTTCTCCTTGCAGTCCAGGGGACTCTCAAAAGTCTCCTCCAGCACCACAATTGAAAAGCATCAATTCTTCAGCGGTCAGCCTTCTTTACGGTTCAGCTCTTACTTCCATACATCACTACTGGAAAAACTATAGCTTTGACTATGCAGACCTTTGTTAGCAAGGTGATGTCTCTGCTTTTTAAGATGCTGTCTAGGTTTGTCATCACTTTCCTTTGAATTTCGTGGCTGCTGTCCCTATCTGCAGTGATCCTGGAGCCCAAGAAAGTAAAATCTGTCACTGCCTCCATATCTTCCCCTTCTATTTGCCAGGAGGTGATGGGACCAGTGGCCATGATCTTAGTTGTTGTTTTTTTATGTTGAGCTTCAGACCATTTTTTGCACTCTCCTCTTACAGCCTCATTAAGAGGTTCTTTAATTCCTCCTCACTTTCTGCCATCAGAGTGGTATCATCTGCATATCTGAAGTTGTTCATATTTCTTCCAGCAATCTTAATTCCATCTTGGGATTCATCCAGTCCTGCCTTTTGCAAGATGTATTCTGCATGTGAGTTAAATAAGCAGGGAGACAATATACAGCCTTGTCGCACTCCTTTCCCAATTTTGAACCAATCAGTTGTTCCATGTCCAGTTCTAACTGTTGCTTCCTGTCCCACATATAGATTTC